CCCAGTTTACCTCCAGAGTCTGGAGAGCGTTTATGGAACGGTTGGGGGTTTCGGTGAGCCTTACCTCGGGTTACCACCCGGAGAGTAATGGGCAGGTCGAACGTGTCACCCAGGATGTGGGTAGGTTTTCTGAGGTCATATTGCCAGGGCCGGCCGGAGGAGTGGGCGAGATATGTGCCCTGGGCCGAGATGGCACAGAACTCTCTCCGCCACTCCTCCACTAAACTAAACCCCTTTCCAGTGTGTGTTAGGGTACCAGCCGGTTCTGGCACCTTGGCATGAGAGCCAGATCGAGGCCCCTGCGGTGGATGAGTGGGTGCGGCGCTCGGAGGAGACGTGGAACGCTGCACACGTCCATCTGCAGCGAGCCATCCGTCGACAGAAGACGAGCGCCGACCTCCACCGCAGTGAGGGGCCAGTGTACGCATCTGGAGATCGAGTCTGGCTCTCAACCAGAAACCTGCCCCTCCGCCTGCCCTGCCGGAAGCTGGGTCGGCGGTTTGTGGGGCCTTTTAAAGTCCTGAGGAGATTGAACGAGTGTTACAGGTTACAACTGCCCATTGATTACAAGAATATTAACCCCTCGTTCCATGTGTCTCTCCTCAGGCCGGTGGTAGCTGGTCCACTCCAGGACTTTGAGATAGAAGAGACTCCTCCGCCCCCGTTGGACATCGAGGGGGCTCCGGCGTACACTGTTCGGGCCATCCTAGATTCGAGACGCCGGATGGGGGGTCTCCAATATCTCGTGGAGTGGGAGGGGTACGGCCCGGAGGAGCGGTGCTGGGTGCCGAGGAGGGACATCCTAGACCCGTCTCTTCTGACCGAGTTCCATCGTGGTCATCCTACGCGCCCTGCTCCGCGTCCTCCTGGTCGTCCCCGAGGCCGGGGGCGGCACACGGCTGGAGCCGCGCGTCAAGGGGGGGGTACTGTCACGGTTTCGGCCGAGGCGGCTCCTTCTCCTTGTTCGGGCAGGCTTCGGCGGTTGTCGTCTCCGGAGTACTAGCTGCCACCGTTCGATGTTTCATGTTTGATTGGTTTTGTCTGTTTGTTACACCTGTTCATTGTTAAGTGTTCATTAGGCACCCTATTTAGTTCTCTTGTGTTTGGTCAGGTGTTGTGTGTAATTGTTCTATGTCACGTGTAGATGTTGGTCCGCTGTTCTGTGCTCTCTGTATTTTCGTTTTGTTTGAGAGAGTCCTGCACGTTGTGCGCATTTACTTTGGACAGTCCAGTGTGCGCTTGTTTCGCCTGTGGCCTGTTGCCGTGTTGGCTTGTACTGTCGGACTTCACTAAAGACATCTGTTTTTGAATCTCTGTGTCCTGCGTGTGATACCACGTTCCCTCTACACTCAACCCTGACACTGTGCCTATGTTTGTGTTGCTTCACAGTCCCCGCTGTTCCACAAGGTGTATTTTTATCTGTTTTTTTAATCTAATTTTACAGCTTGCATCAGTTACTTGATGTGGAATAGAGTTCCATGTAGTCATGGCTCTATGTAGTACTGTGCGCCTCCCATAGTCTGTTCTGGACTTGGGGACTGTGAAGAGACCTCTGGTGGCATGTCTTGTGGGGTATGCATGGGTAATTCAAACAGACAGGCTGCAATGTAACAAGTCAAGGGGTCTGAATACTTTCCCAATACACTGTATGTGTTGCCACCCTAGGATCATGAACTACTTATAAAGCATATTTACAACTTCTATTATAAAAAAATATATAAAATACCATAAAATACTGTCATACTGTCAAAAAAGTGCAAAATATTGTGATATTATATTTTGGCCATATCGCTCAGCCCTACAGTAGAGTACAGTAGAGTAGAGTAGGGTATAGTTCAGTACAGTAAAGTAGAGTACAGTAGAGTAGAGTAGAGTATAGTTCAGTACAGTAAAGTAGAGTATAGTAAAGTAGAGTAGAGTAGAGTACAGTTCAGTACAGTAAAGTAGAGTACAGTAAAGTAGAGTAAAGTAGAGTACAGTAGAGTATAGTTCAGTACAGTAAAGTAGAGTACAGTAGGTATAGTAGAGTATAGTTCAGTACAGTAAAGTAGAGTACAGTAGAGTAGAGTAGAGTATAGTTCAGTACAGTAAAGTAGAGTATAGTAAAGTAGAGTAGAGTACAGTTCAGTACAGTAAAGTAGAGTACAGTAAAGTAGAGTAAAGTAGAGTACAGTAAAGTAGAGTATAGTTCAGTACAGTAAAGAGAGTCCCGGGGTGGGGTAAAGAAGTAAGAGGTATAGTTTTTCATTTTACAGTAAAGTAGAGTACGGGTAAATTTCGAAGTAAGTTCGTACAAAAAGTGAGTACATGAGAGAGTAGAATAGTTAGTAAGTAAAGTAGAGTAAGTAAAGTAGAGTAGAGTGAGTACATTCAGTAAGAAAAGTAGAGTCCAGTAGGTAGAGAAAGGTATAGTTCAGAAAGAAAAGTAGAATTTAAATAAAGTAGAGTACAGTAGAGTACAGTAAAGTACAGTAAAGTACAGTAAAGTAGAGTATAGTAGAGTAGAGTATAGTTCAGTACAGTAAAGTAGAGTATAGTTCAGTACAGTAAAGTAGAGTATAGTTCAGTACAGTAAAGTAGAGTATAGTTCAGTACAGTAAAGTAGAGTATAGTAGAGTACAGTAAAGTCGAGTATAGTTCAGTACAGTAAAGTAGAGTATAGTTCAGTACAGTAAAGTAGAGTATAGTAGAGTACAGTAAAGTCGAGTATAGTTCAGTACAGTAAAGTACAATATACTCTACTGTACAGGGCTCTACAGTGCGACAATTGTACTTGCATATGCACCTAAACATTTTGCTGTGCGACCTGGAATTTTAATTTAGGAGCATCAGTCCACCTAGAAAAAAATATGATAATTGTTGCAATGATTACTTCACTGTACAGCAGCCCCTTAGTGGAGAACACTCTGCGTGGAGAACACACTGAGCAGAGATTCATGCCTGCATCATCACTACAGAGAAAACAGCTTTGTTACCTCAAATATTTTTCACTGTGCTCCTTCATTTCTTTGTGTACATTTTTCAACTTAAGCGCACATGCGACGTGCTCCCTGTAAAAAAGGTCAGCGTAGAGACCTGCTATACTATACTCTACTTTTCTTTACTGTATTGGACTGTAATGTACTGTATTGACTGTACTAATGTACTGTATTGGACTGTATTGACTGTACTACTGTGCTCTACTCACTGTACTGTACTGTACTGAACTGTATTGGCTGTACCCTACGGTGCTCTACCGTGCTCAACTCATTGTACTGTACTCTACTCTACTCTACTGTACTCTAATGTACTCTAATCTACTGTGCTGTACTGTCCTGTATTTCTGATACCTTTTACCTTTCCTGGTAGATGTTGTCTAAGACCTATTTTCTGTTCATCCAGAAATAAAAGCCTTTACTTATGCCTACTTTTAAGATGGAAAATTGTTGGAAAATGGGAGGGGGAGAGAGAGAGTTGGGAGGGGGAGAGAGAGAGAGAGAGAGTTGGTGGGGGAGGGGTCGCTCGATCGCGCGTTGTGTGTGAGGTGGCATCGGGGGCAGGGGAGAGTGGGAGGTGGAGGGGGGAGAGGCAGAGTGGGGGGAGGGGAGTTGGGAGCAGAGAGAGGAGTTGGGAGGGGGAGAGAGAATTTGGGTTTTGGGGAGGGGCAGAATTGGGGGGAGGAGGTTGGGAGGGGGAGAGAGCGAGAGGGAGTTGGGATGGGTTAGAGACGAGGAGGTTGGGAGGGGTTTTTGAGCGGGGTTTGCTTGGGTTATTCGAGATAGAGAGAGTTGGGGGGGAGTAGAGGAGTTGGGGGGAGGAGATGGAGGAGAGAGGGTTTTGGGAGGGGGGGATGAGGGAGGTTGGTTTGGAGGGGGAGAGAAGAGTGTTGGGGAGAGGAGAGAGGTTGGGAGGGGGAGAGAGCGAGAGGTTTGGAGGGGAGCGAGAGCAGAGAGTTGGGAGGGGGAAGAGAGAGAGAGCGCGTTGGGAGGGGGAGAGAGAGAGAGTAGGGAGAGAGAGAGAGAGTTGGGAGGGGAGAGAGAGTTGGGAGGGGAGAGAGAGAGAGCGAGTTGGGAGGGAGAGAGAGAGAGAGAGAGGAGGAAGGGGTTGGGGGGAGGAGAGCGAGTGTGGTGAGACAGACAGATGCACACAACTCTATCCGACACTTTGCCTCCCTGACCCCAAACAGCAGGTGCTAGTTCAGTGTTGTTCAGTGTAATTGAGACTGCTAACAGAGCTGCTAACAGAGTCCAGCAGAGCAGCAGGCTGCACAGACGCTACAGCAGACACTGTAGAACAACTATTGACTTCCACATGTTTTTGTTTCGGCCCGCCCATGTATGCACAGCTATTTCCTGTTGTTCATATGGGCCAACAGAGGGCTATGCCAAAACACAACAGGCAGGCCGCTGGCCCATATATTAGAATGCTTCACAAATGGCAACCTATTCCTAAAAGTAGTGCACTAAATAAGGACTAGGGTGTCCGTTGGAACCCAGACGGTATCATAAAAGTCTTATCCTCAGAAATTGTGAATGTAGGCCTATGGTCATTTATCCTAGCTATCTTATCATGGCTAATCAACGACAGGACATCTCAAGAGGGCAGTAGGGTGGAGCTCAGGAAGTCCATCTCCTTATCAATTCTTCCTGGTAGTCAGTTTGGGGCTGTTGGTTTTACCTATGTGGCCAATGGCAATGTCCCAGATGGCACCCTCTTTCTTTTATAGTGCAATACCTATGACCAGGACCCTGTGTGCACTATAAATGGAATATGGTGCCATTAAGGACGCACTCCATGATAGAGGGTAGTCAGCGAGGACCGTTGGGTTATCTATACAGTCGGTGAGGACCGTTGGGTTATCTATACAGTCGGTGAGGACCGTTGGGTTATCTATACAGTCGGTGAGGACCGTTGGGTTATCTATACAGTCAGTGAGGACCCGTTGGGTTATCTATACAGTCGGTGAGGACCGTTGGGTTATCTATACAGTCGGTGAGGACCGTTGGGTTATCTATACAGTCGGTGAGGACCGTTGGTTATCTATACAGTCGGTGAGGACCGTTGGGTTATCTATACAGTCGGTGAGGACCGTTGGGTTATCTATACAGTCGGTGAGGACCGTTGGGTTATCTATACAGTCGGTTGAGGACCGTTGGGTTATCTATACAGTCAGTGAGGACCGTGGGTTATCTATACAGTCAGTGAGGACCGTTGGGTTATCTATACAGTCAGCGAGGACCAGTTGGGGTTATCTATACAGTCAGTGAGGACCGTTGGGTTATCTATACAGTCAGTGAGGACCGTTGGGTTATCTATACAGTCGGTGAGGACCGTTGGGTTATCTATACAGTCGGTGAGGGACCGTTGGGTTATCTATTACAGTCAGTGAGGGACCGTTGGGTTATCTATACAGTCAGTGAGGACCGTTGGGTTATCTATACAGTCGGTGAGGACCGTTGGGTTATCTATACAGTAGTGAGGGACCGTTGGGTTATCTATACAGTCAGTGAGGACAGTTGGGTTATCTATACAGTCGGTGAGGACCGTTGGGTTATCTATACAGTCGGTGAGGACCGTTGGGGTTATCTATACAGTCAGTGGGGACCTTTGGGGTTACTTAAGTGGGTAGGCCCCTTTGGGGTTTATCTTACAGTGGTGAGGACCGTTGGGTTATTATACTTCGTGAGGCCCCTTTTTTTCTACCTCTTAGAAAAAGGTCCAAAAGGTTTATTCAGCTGTCCCCACAGGGGAACCCTTTTTGGATCCAGGTAGAACCTTTTGGTTGTTTTAGGGAGAACCATTTTGGGTTCCATGTAGAACCCTCGTGGAATGGGTTCTACATTGAACACAAAGTATTCTACCTGGAACCAAAAAAGGTTCTTCAAGGGTTCTCCTATGGGGACAGCCAATAACCATTTTAGGTTCTAGATAGCACCTTTTTTTCTGAGTGTAGAAGAGCCAGATATCTTTATCATGGCAACATCAGAAGAGGGCGGAAGACAGATATCTTTATCATGGCAACATCAAGAAGAGGGCGGAGCCAGATATCTTTATATGGCACATCAGAAGAGGGGAGCCAGATATCTTATCATGGCAAATCAGAAGAGGGCGGAGACAGATATCTTTATCATGGGACAAACAAGAGAGGGCGGAGACAGATATTATCATGGCAAACATCAGAGGGCGGAGCCAGATATCTTTATCATGGCAACATCAGAAGAGGGCGGGAGCCAGATATCTTTATCATGGCAACATCAGAAGGGGGTGGAGACAGATATCTTTATCATGGCCAACATCAGAAGAGGGGCGGAGCCAGATATCTTTAATCATGGCAACATCAGAAGAGGTGCGGAGCCAGATATCTTTATCAATGGCAACAAACCGAAGAGGGCGGAGCCAGATATCTTTATCATGGCAACAACCGAAGAGGGCGGAGCCAGATATATTTATCATGGCAACATCAGAAGAGGGCGGAGCCAGATATCTTTATCATGGCAACAACCGAAGAGGGCGGAGCCAGATATCTTTATCATGGCAACATCAGAAGAGGGCGGAGCCAGATATCTTTATCATGGCAACAACCGAAGAGGGCGGAGCCAGATATCTTTATCATGGCAACAACCGAAGAGGGCGGAGCCAGATATCTTTATCATGGCAACATCCGAAGAGGGCGGAGTCAGGATGTGATGGACTAGTCTTCTCATCCCACTACGTCAGGACCGTTACTAACGAGCCATATCATACAGGGACTGCATCCCAAATGGCACACTAATCCCTATATAGTGCACTATTTTTTACCAGAGCCCTATTGGGGAATAGAGTGCCATGTGGGATACAGACAGGGTATGTTTCTAAGGCCTTTTATCACTATCACACCAAATCAAATGAGATAGCAGCAACACAGAGGGAAATGAAATGATGAAATGCTGATCTTAAAGCTAGACTCAGATAGCAGCAACACAGAGGGAAATGAAATGATGAATGCTGATCTTAAAGCTAGATTCAGATAGCAGTCAACACAGAGGGAAATGAAATGATGAAATGCTGATCTTAAAGCTAGACTCAGATAGCAGCAACACAGAGGGAAATGAAATGATGAAATGCTGATCTTAAAGCTAGATTCAGATAGCAGCAACACAGAGGGAAATGAAATGATGAAATGCTGATCTTAAAGCTAGACTCAGATAGCAGCAACACAGAGGGAAATGAAATGATGAAATGCTGATATTAAAGCTAGACTCAGATAGCAGCAACACAGAGGAAATGAAATGATGAAATGCTGACCTTAAAGCTAGATTCAGATAGCAGCAACAACAGAGGGAAATCCCCGTGTAGCTCAGTTGGTAGAGCATGGCGTTTGCAAACGCCAGGGTTGTGGGTTCGTTTCCCACGGGGGGCAAGTATGAAAAAAATATATATATGTATGCACTCACTAACTGTAAGTCGCTCTGGATAAGAGCGTCTGCTAAATGACTAAAATGTAAAATGTAAATGAAATGAAATGATGAAATGCTGATATTAAAGCTAGACTCAGATAGCAGCAACACAGAGGGAAATGAAATGATGAAATGCTGATATTAAAGCTAGATTCAGATAGCAGCAACACAGAGGGAATGAAATGATGAAATGCTGATCTTAAAGCTAGATTCAGATAGCAGCAACACAGAGGGAAATGAAATGATGAAATGCTGATATTAAAGCTAGATTCAGATAGCAGCAACACAGAGGGAAATGAAATGATGAAATGCTGATCTTAAAGCTAGACTCAGATAGCAGCAACACAGAGGGAAAATGAAATGATGAAATGCTGATATTAAAGCTAGACTCAGATAGCAGCAACACAGAGGGAAATGAAATGATGAAATGCTGATATTAAAGCTAGACTCAGATAGCAGCAACACAGAGGGAAATGAAATGATGAAATGCTGATATTAAAGCTAGACTCAGATAGCAGCAACACAGAGTAAAAAGAGACGAAGCACCTTCCATCCTCCTTCTCTTCTGTTCTTGATGTTATCTCCTGTATTCATTTCCTAAATTAATAACAACACTAAAGGTTAAAGCCCTGCTCGAGAGGTTTGGCTGTGTGCCTTTCTTCTGCTAGGCTTTTAGAAAGAGCAGCTCCCATCTACAGTCTGTGGTTCAAATCAAAAAAAACTTTGCCTTTGGAGATGTGAGAGACAGAGTCGAGAAAATGAAGCGCGTGGTGTGTGAGTTTATTGGAGTGTGAGTTTGTGCTATGCACGCATGTTAATATGACTCAGTGCTGAAACAGGTCTGGTGACTGAACATTTGAAAACGATCACAGGAGGATTCTGGTCCTGATCCATTATGGTAATGGTTTCATCACCTAACACCATTATGGCACTGGTTTCATCACCTAACACCATTATGGTACTGGTTTCATCACCTAACACCATTATGGTACTGGTTTCATCACCTAACACCATTATGGTACTGGTTTCATCACCTAACACCATTATGGCACTGGTTTCATCACCTAACACCATTATGGCACTGGTTTCATCACCTAACACCATTATGGTAACTGGTTTCCATCACCTAACACCATTATGGTACTGGTTTCATCACCTAACACCATATGGTACTGGTTTCATCACCTAACACCGTGTTATAATTGAGGTTGGTGTCTAGGGTAAAGGGC